AATGCAGCAGATAGGGAGTCAGTGCTGTAATGGAGCAGATAGGGAGTCAGTGCTGTAATGGAGCAGATAGGGAGTTAGTGCTGTAATGCAGCAGATAGTGAGTTAGTGCTGCAATGCAGCAGATAGGGAGTCAGTGCTGAAATGCAGCAGATAGGGAGTTAGTGCTGCAATGCATTAGATAGGGAGTCAGTGCTGTAATGTAGCAGATAGGGAGTTAGTGCTGTAATGGAGCATATAGTGAGTTAGTGCTGTAATGCAGCAGATGGGGAGTCAGTGCTGCGATGCAGCAGATAGGGAGTTAGTGCTGCAATGCGGCAGATAGGGAGTCAGTGCTGTAATGTAGCAGATAGAGAGTTAGTGCTGTAATGCAGCAGGTCGGGAGTCAGTGCTGCAATGCAGCAGATAGGGAGTTAGTGCTGCAATGCAGCCGACAGGGAGTTAGTGATGTCATGCAGCAGATGGGGAGTTAGTGCTGTATTGCAGCAGATAGGGACTTAGTGCTGTAATGCAACAGATAGGGAGTCAGTGATGCAACATCTGAGGAGTCCTGAATGGAACATGAACATTGTGCAATCATTCGCAAGCATCTGATTTTATGATCGTAGGACAGCTTTCGATGAAGCAACTGAAGATAGTAATGCCTAGGACACTCCCCTGAGAACCTGCTATAGAGATGTCCTGGAACTGATTGACCTCCAACAACCACATCTATCTTTCATTGTGCTGGGAATGACCCTAACCAGGGGTGAGCTCTGCCCTGATTTCCATCGACTCCAGTTCTGCTGGTGTTGCTTGGTACTACATTCAGTCAAATCCTGCCTTAGTGTCAAAAACAATCACTCTGAACTCACTGTAGAATTCAACTTTTTTGTACATGTTTTGTCTGTGATTGTAACGAGGTGAGGAGCCAAATGGGCCTGGTAGAACCCACACTGGGTGTCACTGAGCACGTTATCCATTTTCAAATGCTGCATTGAGCACTGTCACCTACTGTTTCCATCAGTTTGCTGATGTCAATGGGTAAACTGGTGGGATGATAAGTAGCTGGGTTGGAATTGTCTTGCTTTTTGTGGACATGATATTTCTGGGCAATTTCCCAAATTTCTGTTTCGATGTAAGTGCGGTGGCTGCACTGGAACAGCTTAGCTAATGGTGCAGCTTATTCTGGGCCACAAGTCCAGTGCTATTACCAGAATGTTATCAGGACCCATAACCATTTGCAGTATCCAGTGTCTTCAGCCGTTTTGTGAAAAAATGTGGAGCAAATCGAATTGGCTGAAGATTGGTAGCTGTGTTACTGGGGACCTTTGGAGGAGGCTGAGATGGATCATTCACTCAACACTTCTGGCTGAAGTTAGATGTAAATAATTCAGCCTTATCTTTTGTGGTGATGTGCTGGACTCCCTCATCATTAAGGATGCGAATATTTATGGAGCCCCCTCCTCCTACAATGAGTTGATTAATTGTTCACTATCATTCACAACTGGACGTGACAAGGCTGCAGAAGTTAAATCTGATGCTTTGGTTATGGGATCACTTACTCTGACCACCATTTGCTGCTTATGCTGTTTGTCACACAACTAACCCATGTTGTACCTTATCAGGTTGACACTTCAGCATGGTGCAGTACAGTAGCTCAGTGGTTAGCACCTGCTGCCTCACAGCGCCAGGGACCCAGGTTTGATTCCACCTTTGGGCATCCGTCTGTATGGAGTTTTCACGTTCTCCCCATGTCTGTGTGGGTTTCCTCTCACAGTCCAAAGATGTGCAAGTTAGAAGGATTGGCCATGCTAAATTGCTCATAGGATGTGCAGGCTATGTGGATTAGTCATGGGAAATACAGGGATAGTGTAAGGTGTAGGTCTAGGTGGGATGCCCTTTGGAGAGTCAGTATGGGTCGAGTTGCCTGCTTCCAAAATGTAGGAGTTCTATGAAATTCATTTTTAGGTATGTCCGGCGCTGTTCTTGGCATCTCCTCCTATACCCTTCATTAAACCAGGATTGATCCCTTGGCTTGATGGTGATGGCAGAGGTGGGGACATACTGGGCATGAGTTCTTGAGTTGCTAGATCTGTTTGAATCCATTTAGTACAGTGATAGCTTCACACACAACATGATGGAGAGTCTTCTTAAGGTGAAGATGGGCCTTTGGCCCATGCAGTCGTCACTCCTTCTGATCCTCTCAAAGACAGATGTACCTTCAGCAGGTAGATTGGTGAATGGGAGGTCTAGCAGTTTTCTTTCTCTTTGGTTCCTCCTCCACCATCCATAGACCACGTCCAGCAGCCATCTTCTTTCAGTTTTGACCATCTCAGTCAGTAGCTGTGTTTCCAAGCCACTGTCAACGATGGACATTGAAGTCCCCCACCCAGAGTACATTCTACATCCTTCCCACCCTCAGTGCTTCCTCCATCTGGTGTTCAACAGGCAGGAGTATGGATTTATAGTGTGTGGGGAGGTACATTGTAGTCAGGTCTCCTTTCTCACATTTGACCTGATGCCATGAGACTTCATGGGGTCCAGAGTTGTGGATTCTCAAGATAACTCCCTCCCTATTGTATACCACTGTACCAACACGTCTGGTTAGTCTGCCCTGCCAGTGGGGCAGGACATAGCCAGGGATGGTGCTGCCCTGGGACATTGTTTGTAAGGCATGATTCTGAAAGTGTGACCAATCTCGGCAGCTCCCCCAATGTTGGTACAAATGGCCAAAGGTTAGTAAGGAGGAGTTTCCATAATTAGCAGATGAAGGGTCACTGGACTCAAAATGTTATAACTCGGCTTCTTTCCGTAAAAATGCTGCCAGACCTGTTCAGTTTCTCCAACACTCTCTGCTTGTGTTTGACAAAGCTGAGTTTGCCATTGTTGACTCTAGTACCTAGGTTGATGCCAGGTGGTCTGTCCAGCTTCCTTTGTTTAGTCTTTGTAGTGGTTTGATAGACCTGACAATCTCACTAGGCCATTTCAGATGGCGGATAAGAGTCAACCGCATTGCTGTGTGGTCTGGAGTCATTTGTAAACCAGACTGGGTAAAGACATGAGATTTGGTTTCCTAAAAAGCGCCAGTGAACCAGAAAGATTGTTATGAAAACCAACTATGGTCACGTGTCTGCTATTAGACTAATCTTTCATTCCAGATTTTATTGAATTTAAATTCCATGATCTGCTAAGGTGGCATTTGAATTCTTGTCACCAGCACATTGGTGTGGCCTTCTGAATTACTGCTCCAGTAACATTACCACTACCACTTCCATCCCATGTGAGAAACAAAGCAATAGTTATTTCATGAAGATATACATTGTCAAATTCCTGAGAAACCTCAGACTGAGACATAGAAAGGGAAAGAAAATGTAATTATTTTGAAGACTAAAAGTCAAACATAACTAAAGGCTTATTCAATACTTGGATAACATTTCCAATGGTGTCTGCAATGCTGGTGTTACAAACTTCCATTTCTGGAATGTAATTCTGTTTGAACCATTCTTGTGGTGGGAGAAACAGGAAGTGCAAAGAGGTTTTGTTGTTTAACCTTTCTGATGTATAATAATATCCTTTTTTTCCCTCCAGAGAGAAGCTCCTGGAAGCCCTGGCATTCCTGGGGAATCTGGGATAGATGGACTCCCGGGGCCAAGGGTAAGATTCTGGATCTACGATTTGTAATGAGAAGCAAACTGTATTCAGACAGAGAATAACTAGGTCTCTGAGGAAGTCCCAAAGTGCTTCCCACACACTGAGTTGTTTCTGAATTACAATCTACAGCCAAAAATGGCAGGCATTTGGTGCACAGTCTGAGTTGAGCCACAAGAATGAGTTGAATGTGCAGTGAATCTGTTTTAGCGGTGTTAGGGGCATGGAGGAATGAATGCTAGCCATAACACCGAAAGATATCCTTACTCTTCTTTCACAATGTGCCTCAAAGTCCTTAACAAACACTTGATTGTTTGCTGGCCAGGCAGCATACTCTCTGATCTAAAACCCTACTACAACTACAGCTCTGAAGTGACATTCGGCCCATTGTGTCTGCACTGGCTCTTGGAGTGCTTTGACTTAGTGCCAAGCTCTTGCCTTTCTTCCATACCCTTGCAAGTTGTTTCTGTTTAAACAATCATCCAATACCCTGTTGAATGCCTCAAATGAACCTGCCTCCATCACATTTCCAGCCAGATCATTCCAGACCTAATCCACTCCTGTGTATGAGAAAAGTTTTTCTCACATCACAATTGCATCTTTTGCAAAGTGCAGTAAATCTGTGCCCTCTCAGTCTCAATCCATTAATAAGCAGGTACAGTCTCTCCCTGTCTACCCAGTCCAGAACCTTCCTGATTTTGAAAACTTTGATCAAATTTCCCCTCAGCCTCTCCAAGCAAATTGGAGCCAATCTTTTAAATCTATCATCGCTGAAATTTTTCATCCCTGCAGCCCAATTCTTGTAAACTTAATCTGCCCCGTCTCTGACTCACTCACATCATTCCGAATGTGTGGCGCCCAAATTTTTACACATCTAGCCTCTACAAGTTGGAGTGTAAGTAACCTTGGCCACAAACAGTTTTGATTGCAGTTTATTTTCAGCCTTGATTTTGTCCGAAACATAACAAACAATTTCTCAACAAGTCTGACCTGTCGTACAGTGAACCACATTTCAGGAAATTTGACTTGTATACAGTACACTTGGAAACAGTCATCTGCATTGCCCAATGGTGCCATCTACTGGATTTGGTCAATATCTAGTCCAATGGAAATTCACAGACTTTGAGTACCCCATTTAAATCTCGAGGTCCCGGAATTGCAAATGCAACATTAACCTCCTGATAATTAATGTATCTAAAATTCCCATCTTTGCTGTTTTAGCACCAACATTTAGAGGAGGTCCTTCTTTGTCCCTTGACCCAAACACAGCCCAAGTATAATCTTCCTCTATCTGCTGCAATTAATTCTCTTTCTCTTATTCCAGGGCTTACCGGGTGAGACAGGTTTACCAGGAATTCCAGGACCACGTGGACCAGCAGGGCCTCCGGTCAGTATCACCTGGTATAAGGTTGAAGCAATGTAGACGTTGATGTGTAGACAGTGTTTTCTTATCTCTGACCTCAGTGCAGAAATTAATAAAATTCTCCAAGATCACTCCTGAATCCCAGTCACAGATTCCAACGCAGCATCATACAATTCAATATGTGTTCACACACACCTCACACACACACACACACAAACCTCTCACACACACAC